ATACAGAATTTTATTGTTGTTAACAACCATTTGATCAATAAATATGAGATGCCCTCTCAAAAAATAAATAAATAAATAAAAAATAAAGCTGTTTTTACTATCAAACCTTATGGTGATAGTTCATGGAAACAGACAGAAAACATACTTACACATACACATGCCCCTGAAGTTCACAGACTGAGAAGTCAGTTTTTTAGAGCAATAATTTTGGTAACTGCAGAAGGAAGTATCTCATACTCATGATATATACTAAAAGCAAACCTACATGCATTTGCTAGACAATTATGAGTTCTTTAAGGGAACAAGGAAGTTGATTTGGTCCATGTACTTAACACTCTGACTTTTCATATTATTTTAGCTCAAACATTTTCTGATGTCACTGACTCATGTGGTTATATAGAAAGAAGTTGAGGACTTCTTACCTTCCATCAATATTCAGGCTACTTAGAAGCAACACGGTTGTCTTCTAATCATAATAAAATGGTTTAACAAAGTTATCGCTCTAAATGTCTAGTGAGAGGGTGTCCTAAATCCATATTCCAAAATGCGTTAAGACTCAGAAACTATTACCCCACAGAAATCAGTCTGATGTATTGTGTCATTGACTCATTTCTTCTGTTTTTTATTATTGGGTTGCTTGGGAGCTCTATATTTCTAGCTATTTTTTCTACAGTACAAATAGCTCTACACTACCAAAGGGAGAAGAAAAGCTAAGCTTTAACCCTAAAAGAAATGAGAGAAAATATTCTGTATTCTATATGCTTGCACATCACAGGATATTAGTATCTGAAAAAGAAAGCTAATTTCATTTACTCTACCTCTAGAGCAATCTCTACAAGATGGAAAATGAACTTGAAGGGTGTAGGTTACTAATATTTCTTCCTAACTTCTGAAGAAGTTTGTCGTATTTCCCTGCAGGACACTGGCTGCAGACCTGTAGAATTGACTGAGGCCCTGGTTAAAGAGAAAACTTGAGTTTTTCAGGGATATCAAATGAATAGATTCTGTGACTTTTTCATACAAAAAGACCATGAAACCAGAAAACAATGACTTTATGATTAACAACAGGCATTACAGTTTTCTAATACTAGGTCAAAGAAAGTAAAGGTATTAAAGTATTATTCCCTCTAAGGTTTATAGTCCAAAAGGAAGTGACTTTAGGCAGGTCAGTCAACCTTTATTCTTCAAAGAACAATTTTTGGTGTAGTCTGATCTGCTCCTCCTTTCCCTAATTGGAGGAGTCTAGATCCACCTAGAAGACATGGACAGAACTGAAACCAATTTTCTTGAACTGTTTTGAAGCCATGAACCAGATACTGAACTAGGAGCATAAGTACACATAAAAGTAACATAATACACATAGAATCTATGTATAACTGCTACAGGTCACTTCTGTATAAACTCTAAGTAGAATATACCAAAGAACCTTCTAAGGAATCTTCTTGTGGCTAGGATCTTATATCCTACATAGATTAAGATTTTCTTGAGATTTAGTAGATCTCTTATTTATATAATGACATTGACAAATCTTTTAAAAATATAAATAAGGAAGTAGACATACTGAAACCATTGCTGCTGTCCACAACACAAGAGAAGTGGGTATGGGGCAGGGGGGAGAGGATAAGAGTATATTTCACAAACTACAAAGTTGACAATATTAAAATAGCCTAATCACGCCATTTCAAAAAGTTATAACTTGACTAGACAATTAAAAATAGACCACCAGGAAAATGCTGATTTACTAGGCACTAACAACTATCAGACTTCAATAATACAGTTTAAACCTGCAACAGAAAAGAGTTTAGAGAAAGTATCTGTCAGAAGGGCTTCAACTTCATTCTTTAAATAAAACTTCCTGGAGGTCCTTTTCAACTCTGTGGTTCCAAAAACTGTAGACTTCATCTACCCTGACTTCTTACAACCTTTACTTTACTCATTTGCTATTATTCAAAAAGGAAATGTGAGAAAAACCAAATCTATCAACATAGATCCTTCTCAGTTTAAGTTTTATGCTTCCAATTAAGCATGGCCTGAGTGAGAATTTAATTCATTTTATTCAGGCACAAAGTTCTATAAGCACATGACAATTTTCTTAACATTACTGTAATGTTGAAAGATGCCTGACAAGTAGAATGGCCCCAAAAGAGAAGGTGTGCTTCTGAAGACAAAACAAAGTCATGTTAGATCCTGCTAAATATGAATGATGTGGCCAAATCTGAGCATCATCTCTCTGGGGGTTCAGGACAAAATTCATCAGAACTGTGCTCTCAAATAAGATGCCAAATTATCCTACAAAATTGTTAGACCAGCAAGCTCTCTCCAGGTAACAGTTTTTGTAAGCCTCATTCCAGCTATCAAGACCAGAAAGTTAGTACCAGATATGTCACATATATAGTATTAAGGTCAAACTCTTCACCTACCTTTTGCCACTAAATCACCTAATTTTCTAAAATGTTTCCCAAGGACCAGTCACAAAGGCTAATAACATAGTACAAGTTAGTCTGTCTTCAGGACCAAAATCAAGACCAAAATTCACTTACTTTTTTCTCCAAATCTATTTCAATAATTTTTCAAGAAAGTTGGGTTTCTCATTATTCATTCAACTACCTTAATATTTCTAACTCTTTGCAACAGTTCAAGATACCAAGGGAAATTCCTCTCTTGTTGGAGGAGGATAGAAGCAGGAATGGTAATTAACATAAATTACTGTAATCACTATGAGCATTAGAACCCAAGAATCATCCAAGGTTGAGTCTTAACAGGAGACTTAGAAAACTTAATGGGTTATTAGCATAATTAAGGGAAGAAGTTTCATAAATGCCTTGTAATTTATAATTACATAATGCCTTGTAAAATATGACAGACTAGTCTTTGATGGGTGGTGGGCTGACATTTCTACAGCTCCATTATTCTCCCCCTTACTTCTAGAAAGTTACAAAAAACTTTATGCAGGAAAGGGTGTCTAAAGATTGGAAAACTAGGAAAAGTGAATGCTCACACTTCTTATCTCTTTCCTTAAATGACTCCTTTTCCCTCAAAGGCCACTACAACTGGAAAGCATTTCCATTAAAAGGAAGTCTCATGGCTATCAATCTTTTACAAAATACTTCATCAGAAAATTCCAGGGTGTTTCTCCAGGAACATTTTCTTGCCAGTTTACTTTAACTGATGTCTCTGTTAAAGGCATAGCTAAGGTTACAGAAACTTGGACGGAATTTAGAATGATACTGCAAGCCATGCCAACATAAGAAGGCGAAAAAAATAAAAGCGGTCATGTAAAAAACGAAGGAAAACAGAAAAACCACCTTATTTTTGTGTTCCATCTAATTTAGAAAGGGTATTCAGTCACATTTACAGTGTTGGAAAGCCTCAATCCATGTTCACCAAGTTCCATGTTGAAACAAACTGAAATCTCAGCTTCTACTCTAGGAAATCTATCTAGGAAATCCAGCAAAAGTAAGAAGCCTCATGATGTTGAACCCATAAAGCTCCAAAGTAATCTTGGTTACTTTTTATACTCTTGACATTTAAGATACCAGAAATGCAATTTCCGTGCCCCTTGCCTTACGCTCGCGCACAGGATTATTTCTTTCTAAACCATTCAAACACTATAAGGCCTCAAGCCTATTACTTATTTTAATATGGAGAAACATATAAGCATTCCTAGTTTTCTAATCTTTGGGACTCCACCTAGTGTCACTACCAAATGAAAAAATATAAGCAATCCTCTCTTCTGGCTATAACGGGTTATTTGGTAAAATACTGAATTTAAAGAGAGACATTATATTTGACGTGATTTTTTACATAGAGAATTCTGACTCTGGAAGACTTGGGAGCTTTCTTTAAGTCATGTTCTGACTAAACAGTATACCACTGGTCAAACCATTTTAATGGAATTTAATCTGTACCTAATTTCACATCATTCTAATATTCTGAAACAATACAAAGATACTAACACTTCAATAGCCTTTGCCTCTGCTCTTTAGCTTGGCCCTCCCAATACTTAACAGTTCACTATTCAAGGCTTTTGATTACCTTCTGATAAGGATTATATCACTTTTACAAAGTCATTCTTATAGGCTCTGAATCTCTCTCTTTCTCATCTTTTATTTGACTAAAATATTGCTCTCATTCAAAGAGCAGCTGATTGAATGGCAAAAATAAGACACACGCATGCATTTATGACATGATACGGAACATATGAAATGGACTGTGAAAGTGAGGGAGGAATAAACTTTATTGGCCCAGAGAAAGGATGAGGGGACAAGAAGGGGGGCCATGGAAAAGAATGAATATGGGTGGGAAAACTAAAATGGAATGATTAAAAATGTGCAAATACATTTTGTAACCTCCACCTTCAACTTAGAGATAGGTATATACAGTGAAATACAGGTAGACTACAGGGAGTTCCACTTTGTAGTTGATGCTACGTGCACCAGTTCTACCATCAGTAAGTCACTGTTTAATTCTGCCAAAGTCAGACAAAGCTCTCTGGTTAGTGCAAACAAGGTTTTCCATCCTGGGCTGCAGTCTGACCCGCCAGAGCTCGGCAGGCATGCTTGTGACGAACTCGCACACTTTCCAGTTCCCCACCTCCAATGGCAGCCAGGGTCTCCAGCCTGCTTAAGCGCTCCAGGCTTCTTCCAAGAACTTCTTCAAGGCGACTGCGTATCACCTGGGCCCCTTCCAGTTCCACCTGCAGAGTTCGGTCTCTCTCAGAGCTGATTAAACATGCCACACGGAAGGAAAATGGATTAGCCATCATCTGGATCAGTGGATTAGCTATAATGAGTCCACATATGCTTCCAAAGAACCATCAGTGCCACTCCGAGACAGCAGACTTCCTAAAGTAATTCTTCTCTAGATAATAAATGAATGCAGTCTTTGCTGTGGCCTGCTCCTTTCTTTAAAGGTTGTCCCTTTTGCTAGATTCTGGGCCAGTCACACAAAGAATTACAGTTTCTAAGACTTACCACACACTTTCACAGCCCATGAAAGAGAAATTTAATCTTTTGACTAAGAGACAAAATTTTTAATTTCTGAAAAACCAAAACCCAGGAAAACTAAATGCAAACTGAAGCAGTACTGAAGCAGGTAGGGCTGCTGCTGAATGTGCCTGTTCTCTCATTTGTTAACCAAACTTGACAGTGGTCTGAAAAGGAATCCAGTTCACAGAGACTAAAGATCCAGAGATTCTTTAAAAGATAACACAGTCAAGTGGTCCTTCCCTTTGCCTTCATTTTCTTGAAATAGAAAGAAAAAAAATTTTAACTCAACAATAAACTAGAAGAAACTGAATAAAAATAGAAGAATAAAAATTAGGAAAGAGAAAAAGGGGCTAAGAGAGAAGGCAAAATGAGAAAAAAAAAAAAAAGGAATAAAAAAATGAACCAGAAAGATGTAATACACATGACCAAAAACCAAGAAGTACAAGAAAATATGTTCATCATGATTGCTATCAGTGATCCTGGAGTCTTCTTCGCCATCATAATATTTTTTCAATGATATTTAATGAATATCAGCACCCTTTATAGCCTATTCTTATAAAAGAATAGCCTTAATAGGACACAGAGCAGAGAAAGGAAACAAAGACACATTAGTGCTTACTGTATATAAGGCATTATTATTGACATCTGACAGGTCTTCTCGTTTGATCTTTATAATACCTGTATGAAATAGGCACTATTCATTACTTAAGATTTAGACAGAGACTCAGAGCAATCCACACAACCAATGGCCAACTGGGTAGTCCCAGTAATTGTCTCTGCTTTTTCTCTCCACTTCGACATCAGAAGCATCTGTACTTAATGAGGAGTGGGAGCAAAAACAGTGGACTCTCATACCTCTCTGGATGAGCATGGAACTTCACCAGACTGCTGTAGAGCTGTCTCTCTGCCTGTAAGGCCTCATTGAGCCGACTCCGTTCATCTACCAGTCCTTCCAGCATCAGCAGTAACTAAGGAAAGAACAGAGGCAATATGCAAATGGCGGTATGAGAATGAAGCCATGGTTAATCCTAAGAGACCAGAGAATGTATTAGCAGGTACTATGACTAAACAAGAAATCTTATTATTGATTTAAGCTTTCCATAGTATTTTACAGTTTTCAAATCAATGTCACATTATCCTTGAAACTCTGTAAGGCACAATTAAAACATGGGAACAAGAAGATGAAAGAGGAGAGAGAAGCCAGAAGCACAGTAAAGAGGCTAAGAGAGAGGAGTGGAAGGGAACGGGGAGGGGCATAACATGACTTACTGGTATTCTTCATTCAGTCAATAAATATTTATTGAGCACCTTCTATGTGCCAGGCTCTGTTCTAAGAATAAGCTTACTGTCTCGTCGGGGGAAAAGACATTCCTCAGTTACAGACCAGTGTCATATGTGAGCTGTCATAAATGTTATAAAGATGAGCTATAATAGTGCATAACCAGCAGTGATGTGTTTAAGTGAACTAATAGAGTTAAAACTCAGACTGGAGTTGAGACGAGTAGTTGGTGAGAGAGATTACAATAGAAACAGGGAGTTGAGGCAAGTACATCTTTTTTAAAAGTGTGGCACTGGAAAAAGATCAGATACGAGGTAGTAGCTACAAAGGGGCTACAAATATTAGAAAGGAGCATCAGTGGCTGCATCTGACCAAAGCTGAGAGAACTTTAGAGCACAGATTCTCTGAAATTCCATCAATAGACTCACCTCTTCATAAGGTAACTGAGATGGACAGCTTTCCCATTGTTTATTTCACAGCAAAAATATGGTTTATATTCTGATAACTTACTTGTTGTCTTCGGTTTCCTGAAGTTTCTTGACCCTGTGATTCTACTGAAGCAACTTTTTCCCGAAGAAGTAAGACTTCTTGAGTCAGGCGTTCCATAGCTGGTATGTCTTCAGGATCAACAAGTTGCATTTGCAGATCCTAAAAGTCAGAAGACAGTATAGCAACAGAAAGTACTATTCAGCAGAGGAGGAAAGGAGCACATACTCCTGAAATAGTCTGCTATACTTTCAAGTGGGATATTGATAAAACACATGAAGGTAGTGATATATCCTTTATGAAATCTTAGCAATTTTGATACAAGTTAAAGAGAACAGGTACTATCAGGAGGCTCAATGTTTGAAGAAGCCCTGCAGATACTCTGAGCTGTAATAATTTCCGATGGTTTTTAAAAAACTTTCAGAGACCTTTATTAGTTCTTCTTTGATCTGTATGTTCCTGGTCAGGGACTCCATATCAGCAGCCTGCACCTGCAGCTCTTCCTCTTGTACAGCCATCATGGACTGCAGTGCAGAAAGTTCCATCTGTGGAGAGAAGAAATCCTAAAGTAGTAGGTAGAGAAAACAGTATCTGTCACATTTATATTTTAACACCGAGGCGTATGTTTTTCCATATTGTAACACTCTCAGCCAGCAGGGCAAGTTTAAACTAGAGCATGAATAGTGCTCTGCTGGACTGATCAATAACCCATGCAGTGTGGTAACAAAGGATGTTTTATGGGAAGATGTAACAGTCGTTTTAACGATGTCTTCCACTCTTTAGTTAGCACTCAAAAACACCCAATTTAATCAAAGGGTTTACTAAAAAGATATATCACTCTTAGCAGATGCAAGAACAGATGTTTTTATTTCGGCTAGTAGATGAAAAAATGATAGAATGTCTCCATTTTGCAACCCTTAGTGAATTAATGGATATAGATATTGAGCCTCAATAGCTGCTAATGTCACAAGAGATCACCAAACATTACTTGCCTCCTGATGGAAAAACACCCAGTGTATGAAGAAGTCCACCCAAAGTCAGCACTGTATGCCCTAAACTTTCAATGCTGTTATCTTCCATCTCTGTGCTGGGAAATGACAGCCAAATACTTTAATGTGAAAAATTTTACTAGTAAAAATGATGATAACCACAGCTGTTAACATTCACTAGGTGCTAACTATGTTCCAGGCCCTATAATACATGCTTTGCATATATTCAAATCCTTTTAACCTAGTGACCTGGCCCCTACTTCTCCAACTTCAGTACCTACCATTTTACTCCTCACTCATGATTCCCTAGGCACACTCGACTTGTTCTGTTTCAGGAATACCAGACTTTTCAACTTACAGCCTTTGCATACACTATTCCCTCTGCCTGAAATATCTTCCCCAGGGTTGTCTCCTTCTTATCCCCATTCCCAGCTTATATGTCATCTGCTCAGAGAAGCCTTCTTTAGAAACTCTACCCAATGGTCCCCATCTGAGTTACTTTCTATTATTTCCCTCCCACCATATATTATAATCTGTAATTACATTATTTATTCTCTCCGTCTGTATTCCCCCAGTAGAAATTAATTACATAGAGTCAGGGATCTTGTTGATCTTGTTCACTACCACATCCCCAGCACTATCTCTGGCTCAGAGAATGTACCCAAATAGCTGATGAATGAATCAATGAATGAGTGAATCCTTGCATCAGCTCTCTAGGAAAACTACTCTTCTACTCTTCAATTTACAGATAAGGTGACTGAGGCTGAGAGAAATTAAGGAACTTGTTCCAAATCACAGAGCCAGTAAGTGGTAGATCCAGAATGTGAACCCAAGGAAGCACACCCAAAGACACAAGGCTCTAATGTCTGCCCTATAGACACAGCACATCCATGTATTCTTTATGGTAATGGCAAATTATTCTAAGTAAACATTTTAAGGAAATAGTTCAAGGTAATTAAGAAATAGGTTGGACAAATAAAGATGGATGACACACAACTAGTTTAAGGTATAACCAAGCTCCCTAAAGGAAGCAGCACATCTTTCCTTAAATATATAAAGTTATAAGCAATAAAAATTTTACTTGTCTATCTTCTAATCCCATCAATGCTTATGGTATCAATGTGTGGGCTTATGATGATTTGTAACTATACAAAGTTTCATGACAGTTCTGGACCACTGTGGCATGTTAGGAGGAAATGCTTCCCCTCACATTCCCTTCCATGTTAAAAGAGTTCAGTTAGTGTTAACTCCTGACCTCTCTCCACTCCTATACTCACTAAGCTCCATGAAAGCAAAGGGACTTAGCTTAATGATACATACACAGGGGAAGAATAAGGCAGGCATGCTTGACTTAAGGTCCACCCTTCCTCTTTTTGGGAGACAGCTGCCTGCAGGAAGCCTGTTTTTGCCACTGCTTCTCCAAGGGCAGGCTTCTAGCCTCCATGCGGAGTGGTCTGTGAGTGAGTGCAGCCCATGGTCCAATGCTGCCTGTGGGCTGAGCAGATGACCCACCTAGTTCTGGAGACTGGGTAGCAGGCCCACTTGGCTCTTACACTGAGCTCTCCACCCAAGACCTTACAGTAAAACAGTTGATAAAGTACCAAACTATCTGCCACTACTTCATTTTATTTCTCAGTTTGTTCAGATTGGGGTATAGAAAAGGGGTGCTATTTATTATGCCCTCTTCAGAGACCTCAATCATTATATATCCAAGTATTTGCTCCATTGAACAGAAGCAAAAACAGGAAGAAAACATTTTTGCAGCATGACTAAGGTCTGCAGTCAGATAGACCTGGGTCTGAAATCTTGGCATAATCCTCCTGATAAAGCATTTAAACTGATCTTCAGTTTCCTCAACTGTAAAATGGAAATAATATATATACTTATTAGAGCTTTGTGAGAATAGAGATGTATTTTTTTAAAATGCCTGGCATGTAGCAGGCAATCAATGAATGATAACTATTATTACCACTACCACTATTACCTCAACTCAGTAGGGGAATGTTTTAAAATTGGGAAAATCTACATGGCTTTTGGCAAATGCCTAATATTAGATGGAATGTGATAATGAATCAATATAGCATTGAAAATAGAAGTTGGTAGTTGATTAAGGACACATAAACATAAGCAATACAGGTAAATAAAACTCACTTAAAATTCGCAATTACAATCATTGTAATTTTATGATCCTGAAAAAGGATAGAACCAAAAAGTAACACTACTCTGAACTGAGTATATAGAAGAAAAATAGGAACACCATGTAGAAACTAAAATATTTGACACGGACAATCAGAAAATGGCTAGGGTAGAACCAAAAAAAGGAGAGGAACTACGGGATTTAAAAAACTAATTATTTTTAAAATGCCACACAATTTCATATCCTCAAAACTTGAGTCATATGAGTCTCTTTGTAAGTAGAAAAAGAGTAATGAAGGGAAAATAAGAAGATATAGTTATGAGGTATAAGATAATTTCATCACAAATATGAATACAGATTTTATATCATAGATCTAACTATGGCAAAGAGGTGGAACAAAACTGAGGAGCCACAGAGACTAGCCAGGTCAACTCAATTTAGGGACCTGTAACACTAACCAATCTTCTAGAATAGATGTCATGGTAACATAAAGGCTTTTTGTTTTAGTCTGCAACTCTGTATGGTGGCCCTGGTATTTCTTTTACATCACAGTTGAATGGACAACAGCTGTACAGGGAGGCAGAAGGGGAAGGGAGTTTGTAGGGCTGAGAGGCCTGTTTTAAGAAAATTGATGAAAATTGTATTGCTAGAAATAGAGTTTATGGATGGGAAAAAATTACCTGCTCCAGTAAATGACTTCTTAAGAAGTACTTTGTGTTGCAAAAGACCTGAGTTTAAATCTTAGCTTTGGCATTTCTTAATTACATGACTATTGTCCACCTCTATATTTTAAACAAATCAGTGTTTCATCTTCTTCATCTACAAAATAGGGCCAATACCACTTACTTTGCATAGAGTTGAAAACATTAGTGCTAATTTAAGTACCCAGAACAGTACATTGCATATAGCAGGTACTCAATAAACATTATTGATCATTCCCAAATTTCTCTTATTCCATGTTTCTAAAACTAATTTTATGCATCTAATGTCATAATTCTAAGCAGCAATTATATAGCACTTCATTTGTTCTTAAGACCTTTACAATTATTTTACTTCAGTGAGCACTGGGCAGAGAAAGCTGTGTCTTTTCAGTATTTAAAAGGTTTAAGGGTCCCATTATAAAAATAAGAGTATCTTGCTAAGATAATGTATATATAAAGTGATTCCTACTTTTTGCCAGAAAGAAAAAAAGTCTTCCCTTGCATTTGGTCCCAGATATTACGCCTGGAGAACTGTACTCTTTTAAATATAAGGTTATTTTGAAAGAAAAAAATAGGAATTTAGAAATTCAACTTAACTAGAAAACTCACCCGACTTTCTCTTTCTTTTTTAGCCATGAGCTCAAGTTCCTCTTTCGCATTATGCAGTTCTTTTTCCAGACCTGCAACTGTATCCAAGTCTCCTAAAAAAGAACATAGTGTTAGTTTCAATCACTATTAACACAGTGTGAGCTCTGCTGCCTTGTTTCTGAGGAATGTGCTCAGAATACACACTCCAACAACAAAAAAACTGCACAGGTTGTTCTCGGCAGTGTTATTTCTATCAACAAAACACTGCACCCAACCTACATGTCTATAAAAAGAAGACTGAATAAACCATAGTACATCCATACAATGATGTACTATATACACAGCTATAAAAAAAAGAGGAAAATCTTTATTAATAGAGTGACTTCTAAAACATAATTAAATAAAACAAATTTGGTACAAAAAAATACATCTAGTGTTGTATGTTTTATATTAGGGAAAGGGGAAAGTGGAACAACACATACACATACATATGCACACAGGATTGATCTGCTTATTTTTATAAGAAGAAAACACAGGGAGGGAAACCCAGCAATGAAGCTGGTTCCTCAGGAAGGTGGAAGCAAGAGAAAAAGGACAGGGAAGTAGACAGGACTTCTGACAGTACTTTCCTATATATTTGAGTTTTGAGCCATGTTAATATTTTACTTTTAATGTGTAAAGTTAGTTCAACAATAATGGAGAAAAACCCTAAAATTCAATGCTAACATAAATAAATGAACCTATATAGTAAATAGGTAATACAATGCCTTAGAAGAGAATAAAAAAATTAATCCAAATAATTTTTGAACTGTGTTCTAACTATACAGACTCAGTGGGAACTATCCTAATGGTAAAAAATATAATTTAAAGATCTTAAATATTATTTAATAGATGTAATGTTAATAGTGGTACTCATGTAGCAGTTCTGAAACTATTTTTGTGTATTGTGCAAATGTGTAAATATATTGATGTTATAGGTAACCAAGCTTCTCAGTGCTAGGAAAAGGCAGATACAAATATGAAATAAGGGAAAGAATGAACCTGTGCTGCTCAACTGGAATTAGAGGCATCAGTATCAAATTGAGACAGACATATGTAAGTAATGGATTGTGCCAGAAATACAGAAGTGCTGAAAAACGGATGGGGAAATAGCAAATGGACAAAGAACAACTTGAAAGGGCTCCAGCTGGCCAAATACAGGATGATTCCATGCTAAAATGGAGTAATGATAGAAATGGCTAATAAAGTGATGTTTAAAATAAAAAGAATCCATAAGTCCATACTGATATGAACAAATAAGGGGAGTGGGGAGGACAGCACAAGGGCAGAACTGTCTACATCACAAGGTATTCACGGGCAACACTTAATAATGACAAAGGGAAAAATGAACCTTTACCTCAGAGATCTGGCAAATATAACCTTAACCAAATGACAGATTTAGTATCACCAAGCATAACACAAGATGGTATCATGCACTCCTAATGCTCCTAATGTCATGCGTTGAGGAAATCATCACCCACGCAGTATTCTTGACAACAGTATTCGAGTCTACCTATGGAAACAGCCAAACTGGGGGCCATTAGCGGGCCCAGAGGTTCAAAGATGCCAGTGTCAAACAAGACAAAAAGGCCAGGAGACTATTCTAGATTAAAGGAGATTAAAGAGAAATGACAACTAAGTTCCACGCATGATCCCTGGGTCAGGGGGGAGCCCCACCTATTGAGATTACTGGGACAATGGGAATTCTGAGTATGGACTATACAGTATATTAAGGCTCAATTTCCTGGGCATGATAATTACATTATAGTTATGTAGGAGAATGCCCTTGTTCTTGGGAAATACATTATGAGTTATTTCGGGATAAAATGTCACAATGTCTCTAAGAAATTTTTTAAAAGGCTCAGAAAAAATGTAACTCTGTGTATACATTCACATGCAAAGAAATAATGCAAATATGGTGAAATGCTAACAACTGGTGAGTCTTAACAAAAATGTGTATGTATTCAATTTTTGCCACTTCTTTATAGATTTGAAATTTGAAAAATAAAAAATTGGAAAAAAGTATTTTTTTAAAAAAAAGGTAAATATGGAGTAAATTAAACAAATCCTTTATTCTTCATTCCTTACTCTTCAACTAGCATAAAGCTTTCCTATTAAGAAATGAGTACTTGCATGACTCTTCTATGGAATTCCATACTTTACACTGTAACACAGACACAAAGTTTTTATATTCTTAATACCATTTAAAAATTGCAAGCTAATTCTCTTAAGTCTATAACCTTTCTTGTCATAGTACTAAAATCACCATGTCATTAACCATGGTGAGCCCCTATTTCTAGAACTCACTGGATAATCTCTTTCCTAAAGTTGCCCTGGGTCCCAACATTTTGCTCTGTGAAAGTCAGAGACTATTCTAATCCAAGGCACCCAGTTGAGTTCTGCTCGCACCATGCACAGAATTCAGTTGCTTATAGGGAGTTGAAGGACTACAACCATTGCTTGGGTGGAGCTGAGCTTGGCAAATAACTCACTGCATACCCTTCCCAACACCGTAATGGAGGTTATGTCAGGGTATAGTAAGTAGCCTTAGCCTGCTTGAAAGACACCCAGAAGGAGGTGTCAGCCCCATGGTCTTGCTGTGCAGGTTTAGAAACACTATTTCCTCATTTTTGTATCCCTGCAAAGCTATCTGAAAAGAATTAGGAAGCAGTTTCCTTTGGCCTAACAGTGTACCCAGAGCAACAGCATCAATTCAACATAAGGTAAGCGCATTCTTCCTAGAATAGACATGTCTTCAACCTTTTAGGGAAACTGAAACTTATTTTTTCTATTTAAGTAGGAAGAGAAAGAGTTCTGGCCAAAACTACTAACAGAGAGTTACAGGATGCAAAGACAAGTTCCTTAATGAAATGAAATCTGATACATACCTAATGAGAACCTGGGTATGCTGGTATCCCCTCTGACAGTCAATGAAGTATTATCATCTCTGGAGGGCATAGGCAGTGAACCCTAAAAATTGGAAGAGTCAGGGGATTTAGGAAGATGGTGAACCATGATCACAATGACAAGGACTTGGAATGTTCTCACATAATTTGACATTAAAACTACCAAATTTATGCCTCATATATAAAAAGAAAATATAATTGATATGAACATCTACACAAGCCTATAGTCCTTACTTGATCAGTCTGTCGCCCAAGGTGGGAGCTAATCGAGGTAACTTCAGCTGGTTGGTTAGAGACTAGTGCTTGGGACACCACCACATCTTTCCCCCACAAATACTGGCGCAGGGCCTGTAATTCTGCATTTCTTTCCATTAGGGCTTGTACCATCTTCTCTGAAGCAACCTAGTAAGGAAATCACATATAACATTAGAAAGACACTTTGATAAAACAAAATTTGCGTGCTGATATTATTTGTTAAAAGCCAACCATTTATGAATGGACAGTGGGGCCCTAAAAAATAATTTCCTTGCTTTCAGTTTATAGGTAAAAACATAGTTTATGAGTCAAAAGAAAGTCTCTCATAGGCAGAATACTGGAAAAACTGACTATAACACATCTATTAGATAAATTGAAATTATTACAAATAATAATAAATAATAAATCTATTATAAATAATCTGAAATAGTTCTGCTAGAACTCTATCCGGTTAAAGTGTTGAGATTCTAATTTGAATTGGGATAACACAGGTTTTTATTGTGGGACACATGTGCCTTTGGCCTGTATGTGCTTTACCCAAACATTCATTTGATTTGCTACCTTTAGGTCTTTGCCAAATGTTACCTTACTGGATTGACTTTCTCTACATACCCTATCTAAAACAATAATCTCTTCTCTACTCCAGTTCCTCTTGTCGTGCTAATTTTTTTTATAATGCACTTATAATTATCTCATACATATCTGTTTATTGGCACTCTCTCTCCCCCAAATGGATGGAAGCTTTCTAAGGTCAGGTACTGCAATGTTTTGTTCAGTGTTGAATTCCAAGTCTAGCACAGTCAATAAATATAAAGGGATGAATACTTATTTATTGACTGATTTATATAACTACTGAATGAATCAATTATACATATACATTTTTATTGGACATGATCAGGAGGATCTGAACTGCAAACCTATCAAATTCAGTTTACTTCATTTCAAATCCCACAGTGCTCTAAGACAGATGATGGCATAATAAGGAAAAGGTCTACAACACTATTAGTGACCATTACCACAGAAAGTCTGCATTAAATCAGGAAATCTGGAAATAATAAACTAACACTGGAATTACTGAGGGTCTTAAGATGGTGATTAGAAACAATATTAACTAAATCATAGTGCCAACTATCTCCCAGGAGAATTGCTATTGTCCTAAATGAGAAACTGAGCTCTTGTCATAATTTCTCAGAGAAATAAAAGAATAACCTTCCATTTCTAGTAAGTAAAATTTGTGGCCAAATTCAGGGATTTGGACATAATGATCTTATAGATAACTACATTATTAATATGCCTTAATAAAATTCTCTGTGAAAATTATTATGAGAAAGCATAATAAATAACATAAAAGATATCTTGTGCCACATGTATGATCTATCTGGCTTGGTATCCTTTTCCTAGAAATGCTGTTTTCAGCAGTGCTCCTCCAAATGTGGTCCAAGGACCTGCAGCGCCACCCTCATCTGGAGCCTTATAAGAAATGCAAATTCTTAAGTCCCACCTATACCACCTAATTCCTATAATGGGGCATAAGCTTGGGAGCCTATGCTTTTAAAAGCTATCTGGAGGATGCTTCTGCATGTAAAATTTGAGAAGCCAATCTAGAAGAACACAACTATTACTCTTCTTGAGTTGAAAATCTTTTGTATTTTCAGTCATCTCTTAAGTTCCAGTATTTTACTACCAGTGGTGCATAATATATTTTCTTAGGCGCAATAAGACTGATTTTTTCAAATTACAAAGGGATTAAAAAAGAAAACTCAAAGACTCATTAGCCTCCTACCAAAGACTTAAATAATTCACAATGATTTTGTTAGGTCCATTCTAGGAGCAACTTCTGCAGCAAATGGCAGCATGTTTCTAACAAAATCTGTATTTACTTTAGTGGGCTTGAGAATTAGGAGAGTGGAATATAACCACACCACATTATAAGAAAGAATAATAAGAAAATTATGGTAAAATAATATGGGCAAATGATAAGAATCTAGTTCCCTCTAAAAACTAGGGGGATTCTGAGCATCTGGTCCCTGAAGTACAGCACAAATAAACTCTACCCGTCTCTAGCCCAGAGGAGAAAGATACATGGAAACGAGGAGATATTAAGAATTTACTGTTGAGATACTTGTATACCATTATTTTAAGTTTAATGCATCCCATCTTATTTTGAGACTATTTATTCTAATCATGGTCTTTGAAGAAACACAATCTTTTATTCCTCTTACAATAACTCATGTTTTATAAGAATTAGGAGAAACAATATGAAATGTAAGTTTTTCTACACCTTGCCTGGAAATATAAAATATCACTCAAGTCAAATCAAAATACTCCAGAACCTCATATTCCTTTCTGGTAAAACTATCAGAATACTAAGAAAAAGAAAATGTACAAAATGATGCAAAAGGGTAGGTACATTAAGGGGGATTACTCCTTGATAGGATAAAACTAACCGTAAATCAACGATTAATGCATGATAGGGGGGACCTGGTACAGGGGAGAGCCTAGTAAACATAATATTCTTCAAGTAAGTGTAGATTAAAGATAAAAAAAAAAAAGGGTAGGTACATTGCATTGTTCAGGCACCCTTCCTAATGCAAAGTGTTCTAAAGGTATTTCATATTTTGATGACTGCTGTAAAACTGCAGTAGAGTTAATAGACTAGAGTTTTATTAGCTGTTAGTCCTTACTTTGCTCTCCAGCTCCCTGGTGCTCATAGACCGAAGCAGGCCCTGAATCTCCATTTCATGTTCCATTGCCTGTTTGTTTCGATCATTCAGAAGGTCCTGCAGCAGCCTTTCCTTCTGCTGTAGACGCTGGCACAGCTCCTCAGATATCTCACTCTGCCCTGGTCCAAGCTGGCAGAGCAATGCTGCACTGAGATCCTAGTACAGAAGGGACAGTATAAGTTTTAGAGTAAAGAATTCCCTCTACTACTGGGCTTACGGAATCACCAGAGAACAGTGAGCTATGAGATTCTGGAGAGCAAGCGTTGTGCTTTATTCGTTTTTGTTTCCCCAGATCTGGCACAGGCTTGGCACATGAGAGACTGAGTACATGTTCCGTGGATGAATACTAACAATACAGAAGATACTTATACTGACAACTTACACATTGTGTTCTGAAAGGTCCTTTCCCTCTTTCTCAGGGCACATGATAATTATGTCAGATGAAGATAAATGGACTCAGCCTGTGAGTCTTCTCCCCAGTACAACTTTACAGGGAGCCCACACAATGATAAGCTGAAGAGAAGAATGAGCACTGTATCTATGAACACAGTGCTGCAGTTTTTATTTCTACACTGAGAGGTAGTAAATGCTGTTAAAACTATGCAGCCATACTGCCTGGGTTACACACTGGCTCTGCCACTTATAGGCTATGTTACTTTGGATAAGTTCCTCCACTTCAGAAGTCTGTTTCCTTGTTGGTAAAAGAGAGAGAACAGAATTACCTCATAGGCTTGTCAGGATGCAATAAGTTAATACCCATTCAGCTCTAAAAATAGTGCCTCACACAGCATGAGCACCATAACTAATAAAGTTAGCTATCACTGTAGGAACATTTTTTAGATCTCATTAAAACTCTCACATAACTTCTTTGAGAAAGATAATTGTCTTTTTGCATTATAGGTGTAGGAAAAATGTCCCAGTGGAAGGCGCAGAATGGAATTAAAGACTTGGGTCACTGGCCTCCCAGAATTCAACAGTCCTCATCAAGACTGAGACTATGTAATCATTAAACCAACTGCTTTTAAGTTAACTAAAATCTTACCTCTACTTCTTTGTTCCTGTCATGCAGAGACGTCTGTAATTGCTGAATGATACTTTCTTGTTCTTTCTGCCAATGGCTAAATTTGGTTTCCATTTCTTCCTTCAGCCATTGGAGGTTTTGACAGGTAGCAGATAACTGTTCCACTTCCAGGGCTTTGGCCCTCAGAAGACTCTCCATGCTCTACAGTTACAAGCAAAGCAACCATAAGTCAAGAGCTGCCCCATACTCCTCAGGACAAATGAGAAACTTGACCCATCTTTCAACTCTCTGTTAAATTATCAAATTTTTTGTAGAAGGACAAAACTTAGTATCTCATCTAAAAATGCCATACTAATCTATTTTTTGTTTTTAGAAACTCTCTAGTTTGTAGAAAGATAATGTACAAGATATATGAAGTACTCTGGAGCCAGTAGGCTATGCTACAGAGGAAGTGAAAGACTTAAGAGGTGACAGATGGTTAGATATATAAGCTCCAAAATAAATATATAAAAGTAGCCCACAGTAAGTATTTAATAAAATAAGTAAGTGTTCTGTTTGTGGCTCTACACAGACATGTATATATTAATGAGAACAACACAAATATAATAGCTGTACCCTAGCAATGCTTATGTAAAAGTATATAGATATTGACTAGAATTAGAAATAAAATAGTATTGTATATAAAAATCCATATTCACTTCCTCTCCCTACAAAGTTCACAGTAGAAATGCTAAAACTTCTCAATGCCTAATCTATAATGATGGAACTAATGACTGCTATTTTTGTTTGTTTTGTATTTATTTTCTTATAAAGCAAATACCTTGGTTTTCATAAAATAATGGGAGGGGCTGATGCTTTGGGCTTAGAATATAAGTGGAAGAGGAATACCAAATCACGGCAGATTTTGCTCTTACCTGCATGGTCGCTTCATTAGTGGAGAGGATACCACGCACTCTCTCTAAGTCACGATCTCGCTCTCGCACAGCACGATGGAGTTGGTGCAGTTCCTTTTCTTTTTCTTCTAGAGTGGAGAACTTTTCATCTATAGCTCGCTACAAAGAAAGTAAGGACCCTAAAGCTCCATAAGATTCACTATTCTGACCCTTATTCAATGATTTCAAATACAAAAGAATGTAAAACCAAATATCAAAAGCAGCCAGTAGACACACATTTCTGTAGTACCTATGTGAAAAGAATAGTCCACAGTGCCATGAGCAAAATGATGGTACATACCTCCAGAGCAACATCTCTATCTTGTATTCGCTGACGAAGTTTCTCAAGCAACATTTCATTTGCTTCAAGGGTTTTGTCCAAGTTATCTCGATACTGCAGGTCTCTAAATTCCTAATAAATCCAAAAAAAATTCTGTCCTTTATTCATTTATTCAGTATTAACTGAATTCCTACACTTTGCAAAGCAATTTACTGGTTGTTCAGGGTAAAAAAAAAATGTGATCACTCTCAAGGGGAACACAGTTTAGCAGAGGCAATAGACATATACATTACTAACTATTCTTCATCACATGCATGCATGTATGTTTGTGTGTGTGTGTAACCAGCTACTACAGGAACACAGGATGCAATATCTAATTCTGCCTGGAGGTGTCACTATAAAGATCTCACAAAAGAGGTTAGAAATGGTGGTGGTATTCTGTGTGCACAGTATATGCATACTATGAAAACACTGTACACTCAGTGAAGTGTAAGGGATATATCATGACTGAAACTTAGAGTAGGTGGTATTTTACTTATTCGTCTTTACAGTTCCATTTTTCCCTAAAACTTTCATTTTATCATCTAAGTAACTCCAAGGAAATTTCTACACAGATGTCTTCACCTATTAAAAAGAGCAGAAGCCATATCTTCTCTTTGTCTTCTAAGCACCTAGCATCATATCTGACTCACAGAGGTGCTTTATAACTATTTGCTGAATAGTTACTGCTTAAGTCTTTCAGATCTTTATTGTTTCCTATACTTGCTGACTAACACCTTGGTTCACAGATTGTAATTTCTATTTATTTTGAATCTTCCTGATCCTCATCTCTTATTGTTCTCCATGTAGCAGGTACTCAATAAGGTGGACTAATATCTTGTGATTATATGATCAGAAATTTCAGAGCCCTATGAGCCCAGTTTGGTTGAAGTAATTAAGTAGACTCACCTGAAGCAGCTGCTCTTTGTGACTCAGGCTATGGTTTAGGTGCTGAATGTGTTGCTCCTGGGTTCGGATCTCACTGTATTTCTCGGCCTCTAGGGTATGAAGCTGTTGGCTCTTACTCTGCAGTTCTCCTTGTAGATGCTGCAAGGCTTTTCGCAGTTCCTGAATTAAACAGATTCCTTTTTAAGTAATCTAAAATTTTCACATGGTCATTAGATAATGAGGTCTTAAGACCTTTCAAGGCATAAAAAACAAAATATATAGCAGAAAGTGCTGTTCTTAAAATTTCTACAGAAATATTATACATGAATCAAATAGAATGTGGGAAATTGTGGAACTGTGGAATAAGGCAGCATGTAAATTTCATACTATAGTTCAATACTTTTTTTTTGGTTTAAGAATGACAGATCTTTGTAACTTCTAAACAGGACCCCATCCCACTGTAAACATGGATCCTTTACTTTACAATAAGCTCAAGGTTAGGGTATTTTTACCATCCCTTTAAATCTTAGAAATTGAGAGCATATGCTCTAAGCTAACAAGATAACGGAACCATTTAAGAATTATATGTTTTATTTAAAAAAAAAAACACATGGTTAATTGTACGAGCCACTCCTCTGCTTACTGCTCTTCACTTTTCTACCTCGCTTTTACCCCTAACTTCTTGTGTTTCCTCCTTCACAAAGCTTTCTCTACCTTACTCAGTCCTTCCTATAAATCCCTGTAGGACCCCAGACATACCTCCTTTACCTCATTTCAGTATTTACCACACTGAAATTTTGTTTCTGGGACTGTCTCTCATTCTAAATCACAACTAACATAAGAGGAAAGAGGCTGTGATAATCACTCCTGTATTTCAAGAACACAGCCCAATATTTAGCACATGGTGTAAGAGCAACAAATATTGAACTGAATTACTAAGATATTAAGCAAGTGACTCAAGGGTTCAACATCAACTGTCCTGATAAAAACATCATTACCAGGGCAAAGTCAGACTTTAGGCCACAGACTAGTTAATGACTTACCTGGTTATGTTTCCAAGAAGCCTCTTTCTGCTTTTCTCTCTCATAGGCCGCTGCCTCTATGAACTGCACACATTGTTTGGCATCAGCCAGCTGGCGTTCTTTTTGCCGTACCACCCTCTGGAGTTTTTGTATTTCAAGCTGGCTGTGGAATAGAGCGCTCTGAAGATCAAGCAGAACCACCTGCTGCTGAGCAGGGGCAGCACCCTCTGAGTTCTGAAAAGAGTAAAAATCATAATCACAAGGAGGGCAAGCACTGAGCCGCTGAGAGGACCCACAAAAGCAAGCGGTGCCCGAGCATGGCACACCCTCTCCTGTCCTGTGAGACTTTCACGTACATGAAGTTGTCCGAGCTGGCTTTGGTGCAACATTTCTCGAAGCTTTGCCATTGTGTCGTTTTGACCTTCAATCACCTGGTACAACTCCTCGGTCTGAAAATGAGGACGGGGGTACCCAACATGTTAGTAAACTAAATACAGATTCCATTATCTCACCTGTACAGTTTTTAGCAATACCAACTTAGATTATACTACAATTTCTCTAGGCTAAGATTTGGTAGTATGACAATCCACTTCTACAAAACAGAATACTTGCCTACTTTAATGGAATAAACCGTTTCCTCACAGGTCCTTGATGGTCAAATATTTTACCTCATTTTCCCTGCTTTTCAGAGTTTCCTTGAGGCTTTGAATTGTACCATCTTGCTTCTGAGATGACTCCTGAGCAGACTTTAGTTCACAGCTCAATTCACCCAGTTTTTCTTGAAGAATCTGAATTCAGCAAAGAAAAACAGTTTGGCAGGTCAATGACTTCTTTTAACCTCAAATGCAACCATGAAGAAGTCCTTCCTCAAACTTAGGTTTAAAAGATTCCTTATGGAATATTACCTTGTTATTTTTTTACTCTATATATAGTAACCATTAAAGTTCTAAGTCAATCAGCAAAGCAAAATACCAGGAAATTAGAATATGAAACACTGCTGCAACACTCAATCGCTTCAATTCTCATGTACTGTGCTTGCACTATGATGGGCACTTGTCCACACAAGTCACTGTGGATACATTACATAAAGACCAAGGAGCTTCTGCTACCTAGGAGAGTAGGGCAGGACACTCCAAGAGTACACCAGGCCAGAAGCTCAACATACCAAACTGGGGGAATATTTTTTCTAATCAGATTTTAAAATTCATGGGTGGTGAAGGGGTGGAAAGTTAAGCTAAAATCAACAGCGCAAACCTCTTGTCTTGGCACCTTACATAGTTACAGATTGCACTCAAGTTTTAATTACAGGCCTTAAAGGCAATAGAAATTCTGATCTGAGCAAATTAAGCTAAAATCTTAATGAGAAAGTTAAAGGACCATTCTTTTAGTCAAATATTCACTAGAACACCAGGAATACATAGTATCCATCTCCCAAGTCCTACTTAGAGAGGTTAACAGACTCCACTGAGCCAGGCATATCCTCCAGGAAATCCTGTGATCTCCAAAGGCTGGTATTGGTCATACCTTGTTGGTAGCCTCCATTTGCTGGATTTTTTCCTGGAGTTCAGCCAAGTGGGACTCAGATACAGACGGTTGGGTTATAACAGCCTCACTGGAATTCAGCTTTTGTTGTCTGAGTAACTCTTCAGTCATGTGCTAGGAAGAAGCAAGACAAGCAAACTGAGTCCAATATAACCAACAATAAATTTTATGTTCAAATGTCTTTGGCATCTTTTGCCAGAGACTTACAAAACCAGAGCTGCTGCCTGGATTAAAGGCATGAATTCCTGAAGACAGTGCTATTCCTTATTAAGAGTATTGATTCACTTCCAGTCTTACAATACTCCCTAGCTCCCTTCCCTACCTTTCTCTATGAACTCACACAAGCATTACATATTCAGTTAAAGCAAATGATTCAGAGTTTAAAGAGAAGGCAGAGTATTAAAAAAAAGAAAATGCTTATAATGACCAAATATTCTCTTTATCCTATTTTCAATGAGGGAATTCAAAAAACATGCTTATCAAACTTTAACCATCCATAACAGGGAAGGTATATTTCAACTACCTTTCTCATAATATGCCTGTTCATATTACTTTGAAAAATGGGCGATTTTTTAATCCGGACTATAGATTTAAATCTAGGTTTAAAAGATTCCTTAGAGAATGTTATTACCTTGTTATTTTTTCTCTATGTATTATATATGGTAACCATTAAAGTCCTAAGTCAATCAGCAAAACAAAGTAGCAGGGAATTGAAATATTTCTGCAACACTCAATTGTTTCAATTCTCATGTGCTGTGCTTGCTCTATGACGGGCACTTGTCCACATGAGTCACTGTGTTTTATCAATATTAAATTTCCTAAATTTGGTGAATTTTTTTGTACTGTAGTTATGTAAGAGATGTCCTTGTCCTTAGGAAATACATGCTTATTTAGTATAAAGATACATAATATCTCCAACCAATTCTCAAACAGTTCAGGAATAAAAAAAAATGTGTCTATACAGTGGGAGTGACAAAGCAAATGCAGCAAAATGTTAACAATTGGTCAGTCTGGGAGTTCTTGGCACTTCTCTCCTGACTTTTCTGTAAATTTGATATTTGAAAATGAAAAGTAAAACAAAAATAAATGTAAAACTCCATAGTGGTCTGGAAAGGAGATATGTTTTATAGGAATATCAATTCACCAAAAAGATTCAGAAGAAAAGAGTCATATTATTTCTATATGGGATGATCAATTAGACTAGGATAACTTATTGAACTGTACCTAATATTCACTATGAACCAAGAGTATTAAAATAAAACTTCAGTAATTCACTGTGGCATTAAATTCCATCTCCTCTCTCCACCTCCAATTAGGAAAAATACAAATCCATTAGGAAGACCAAAAAAAGCAAGTGTTATTCATTTTCCCCCCCCTCACACTTTGTTTTTGGCATTAAAAATTTTTTTATTTGAGGTAGGTACATACAATAAAATGCACAAATCTTAGTGTACAGCTTGATGGGTTATGGTATGTATATACACTTCTGTAACCATAGCCCTGACCAAAGTATCAAACATTCTCACTGATTTCCCCCCTTCACCTATCTCATCCAACCCCTTTCCCTCACACTTTCCAACTCTGATCACCACCTTCCACGGATTAGTTTATGTTAAATCCCTTCTTGCCAGCAACTGGCTAGAAGTAAATCATTTCAGAAGAAAACTCTCTTCTCTTCTCCCACTGATATGTATCAATTCTTAAAATATCTGTTAAATACCACAATATGCAAAGCACTGTGGGATTTGGAGTGGGGAGCTACATAATAAAGGAACAAGGAAATATACAAACAATCATAGTGACAGGCTCTATGCTGTGAAGTAGTAAATAAAGCCTGATAAAGTGGTTAAGTTACTCTAAATTGGTTGACCAGTGAAAGGTCTCTATGAGCAGCCTCTAAAAGGAGATCCACATGACAAAAAAAAAAACCAGTCCTGCAAAGATCTACAGAAGAACAATCTAGGTAAAGGCAGCTAATGGAAAAGACCCAGGTAGGTATAAGCCAGGAGAGAAAGGCCTATGTGGCGATATTTGTACTTTCCAATACAAATACAATGTCAGCCATATATATAATTTTAAGTTTTCTACTAACTTCATTAACTAAAGTAAAAATAAACAGGTGAACTTATTTTTAATAAAACTTTGTATTTGATCCAATATATTATATCAAAAAGAGTATCATAAACATAAATTATTAACAAAATACTTCACATTTTTTTCATACTAAGTCTTTGAAATTAGGGGTATATTTCACAGCATATCTCAATTCAGACTAGCCCCAGTTCAAATGCTCAATAACCACAGAGGGCTAGTGGCCTTGCGGGATAGCGCAGGGCTACAGCATAATGGGCATAGGGGAGAGTAATACACAATGAAGCAGAAAGGCAGGCAGGGGCCAGGCCACGCGAAGCTCCTGTACACCAAGGTTACAGGAGCTGGGTGTCATTCGCATTGAAATGAGAATGGACTGCAGTGTTTTTAACAGAAAAGTAATCCAATCATACTTAAATTTTAAAAAGCTCACACTATAGCTGCTCTGTGGTGAATGGGTTGCTGGGGAGCATGTGCAGAAACAGGGAGCCCAGCTAGGAGGCTGCTGCAGTTCTGTGGGTGAAAGGTAACAGTGGCTTCGATTATAAAGGGAGGGGAAGAGAAATGGATGGATTTGGATGTTTCCAGTAACTTTTCTTGTCAGGTATTTTTCAAATTTAAACTGTAACAAGCAGAATTAAGAAAATAGCTTCAAGTTTAAAATGGCTGGGAAGGCAGTCATATTTAATCACTTTAAACCAAAGAATCTGAGAGCTGTGAAGGAAACTTTATAAAGTTAACATCTGGTCCAATCCCATCTTACATTTGAGGAAATGGAAACTTTAGAGAAGTAATTTGTCCAACTTAAACAGGAAATCAGGAAAAGGATCCAATTAAACCAAATGCACTTCAGTTGGTAATGTATCTCTCATCTCTGTAAACCCATTGCCTACAATAATGCCTGAAACATTGCAGGGACCAAGTTTTTGTTTAATATGTGAACAAGATCAACAAAAACAGGCCTGTCTCCTGATTCCCAGGCCAATGTTCTAATCTAAACAAGATCAAGTAGACAGATATCTAATTTAGGTATTTCAACAGCAACTTTAAAACCAAAGGATGCTACAGAAAAGTACATAATGAATCTGGACCTCATCTGAACCCATCCTGGCATGAATAATTATAGGAAACCCTTAATTCTGTAAATGTAAGGTATTGACCTAAAGGCTGGAAGATGTTTCTTTATTCATAATACTTTATCATTTTCTATCTCAGAAAAAATGTGATTCAAACGACAGCCTGCCGAAAGAGCACTTAGCAAAGTCCCACTGAGTCAACAGCTCATAATGAAGTCTTGTAAAATATCACATGCATAAGCCAATCACTCCTATGAAGACTTTATTAGAGCCTGAAATCCCTAATACTTGATTTACTTAATCAGTGTTAATCTCCACACTGTCAGTTACTAAAATCATACTGTAAGAATAATGTAATTTTAAATTAAGTTGCTTTTGACTCAGGACAAATGCTTCCTAGTTTCAGAGAAGAGAACTGCTTCCAGGCCTTCTGTTGCATGATGTAAGACCTTTAGGCTAAAAGGCAGTTATTTAGATCCTTTTGGTTAATAGCTTTTTTCTTGGCACTTCCCTAGTTCTCACAGTAGCAAGACATAGATTTCAAAATGCTATAATTTTTCTATCCTAATTTTAATAAGCGATACCAGAAGAACCATCAACTAGCATAAAATTAAAAGCCTAATCTTTGATCAACATCTAATGCTTATACCTTCCAAAGGGCCTGATACAGGTTATGTAGCTAAATTATGAGAGGGCTAGATTTACCACTGTCACACTGGAGCTGACCCTGGCATTACAAGGTTTGAAGCAAAGATCTTCTTATCTTCAGGTACACATTCTATAGAAGGCAAATAAAGAATTTGCATAATATCAGAAAATTAGTAAGCAGGAAAACTACACTGTTCCTGCTTTTCTTTAATGTAGGAAAGAAGGAAAAGAAAGAAAGAAAAAGAAGGAAAGCAATCAGGAGGAATTCTAATGGTGATATTTAATAGTGCATAGAATGGGAAATGGAGAGGATTAAACAAAGGAATCAAAATGACCTTACAGAACAATCTCACTCTTCAGGATAAGAGCTTTCTTCGTATTTAGGGTAGAATTTAATTGAAGGAATTTTTTTTCTTTCATGATTTTTTCTTTCTACAAACTAAAACAAGAACTAGAAAAATAACTTACATGTATTTCTATTCTTTCCACACTGGTGCAGAGAAACAGACAAAACCCGTCTGCCTTTGTCCCATTTAGCTCTGGTTTTGCCATAAAGCCCAACAGGCTTTAAGGAGCTTAAAAATCAACCAAACTTAACAAATCAAGGGTCCAAAATACACATTTTATTTACAAACACTTGGAACCAAATTTATCTATTCCCCCACATCTTTAATTACTGGAGAAAATTGCATAGTAATTAAACACCATGATTCTTCAAGCTGAATGTTTCTCCCTCTTCTTGATGTTTATCCTACAAATACTAATGAATGTAAGCCAGGTAACAGCAGAATGGTCAAACACCACTATTTTAAAGGTCTATTTTTCTAATGGACAAATATAAAAAAGTAAAAGGACTCGACATAAAGATACAGTTATCATAGTTTAAATGTGCTCACTAGAAGGACAATTTTCTTCACAGAATCCCTAAAGAATCCTCCTGGAATCCTTAGGTTATAGAAAAAGCGCTCTTCATTTAAAATAACTATTTATTTAATTCTATGTACATCAGGCAATGTGGTTTAATATATAGAATAAAAAGGTCTTGGTTGAGTGAGAATGGTTAGGAATCTTAAACTCTCTCTGGGCTGTTACTGAAACCACAAGCTTTCCATATCTCTAAATTGCAAGGGTGTATGAGATGATCTTAAAATCCTGATCAATTCCAAAATTTGTTGAGTCCAGGCACCAAAAGAGAGTATTTTTAATTAAACGTGGAGAAAAAACTCTTGTTTGCCTGTAATTTTCTAAGTCTTTACCTTTCTACAGTATTTGCCACGTTTGAGGGCAGAAAAAAATACATCATTCCCCATCAACTTGCCCAGACTACTTACAGTTTCTAGTTTGAAAACACTGTATTTAATTTGTAACAGTATGTCTGGTCAGGGAAACACTGTAAAACCCAAAGTTAGCTGTGAAGCTCCACTGACAGAAAAGGAAGCAGAAGTACACAATCATGAGGCATACTAAACATTCTGTACAAATGAAAACACACTTAAATTTTTTGATATTCATACTTTTTCATAACACTTGCATATACACTCATTCTGGCAATTTTTACAATTCTCCCATTTTCTGCTGTTCTTACTGTGATGTAAATATATGCAATAGAACTACTTTTCAAAAATTTCACGTGACTATCAATTTCATTTATTATTAAACTCTAAGGTTCTAAGATGTTGACTGGAAGCAGGCTTTCCAAAAACACCTTCTAGATTGTCCACCCTTGTAATGTATCACTAAAGAATTTGTATCAACTGTGCAACACAGAGAAGACAAGTAGTGATTTTACAGCATCTTACTACGCTGATGGACAGTGACTGTGAAGGGGTATGTGGGGGGGACTTGGTGAAGGGGGGAGCCTAGTAAACATAATGTTCTTCATGTAATTGTAGATTAATGATACCAAAATAAATAAATAAATAAATAATATGTATCAAGTAGAACGTGCCAGATGTTTCACAAAGTTAATTGAGTCTACCATTTACTGTTGGTATAGAAACAAAATAGCATCTGTCAGGTCCCTGTATATAGAGGCTTGGTATGAATCAATTAGGCAGGCATGAATAGCTCAAATTAAGATCAACTGCCATCTTCTTAGTCATTGAGAAATTTAAAGTATAATGGATGAAATTCTTCTCTCGCCCAATAATGAATGAATCCTTACATCAAACATCTTCTAATAGTGCTCGTAGACACAAGAGCTATGAACGGATTTCAACTTAACATTTTAAATGACAACACCTGAATTCCCAAGTCTCTTTTATGAAATCATTAGTACTCAAATGACCTATTAATTTATTATAAAGTATTGCCCAGATGTCACAATACTTTGGTGGATTAATAGGTTTCCCCAAACCTTTACCCAATGCTCTAATCAGTTTGAGGTACACCTGGGGATGAAAGGCTTAATAACTTTACGAAGAACTAACCAACTAGAGAACTAACTCCCTTAGAGAATGAGAAAAAGCATCTACAAATCTAAAAATGAAAACAAAACAAAAAAAGAAGTGTGGAGTAGAGGATGAGGGAAGAGGGAAGAGTTCTGGTGTCAGAAACAAGATCAAGTGCCTTTTTATAGGGTAAAAGTGAATTAGGAATCTTTTTTTTTAATAGGTCTGCAATTTTGATAATTAATGGCAAGGCCGATTATAGATGTTATAGGATTGTGAAAAATTACTTGAGTGTGAATTATATTTACTAAATGGGACTCAAGCAAAAGGTGCAGCAAAAATGGACTCAATGATTAATTTTCTCAAGTCTATAATATTATTAACCTTCACCTAGACAGAAATCATGTGAAGCCTGAGGCCAGCTAACTAGAATCAGAAGGCACTAGGTAGCCATTTTGTATACCTGGACCCGGAGTGGCAAATAATCTTCATAGAGATCATCCCACAGCTCTTGCAGGTCTGAAATCTCCAAGGGATAACTCACAGGTGTCTTGTAAAGGGGTTTCAAAGACCTGTTACAGAACCCGGAACCAACTCCATCTGTCACGATATGGCCAGGCCTGGCACCAGGTGGGCTGGATTTCACTGGAATAGGAAGCTTGCTCCCTCGTGGGCTCTGGATGGGCTTATAATCAAGGCCTTTAATCATGCTTAGAGCTAGCTCCAGCCTGTGGTTGCACATATGCTGCAAAGCCTGTTCATCTGAACAACAGTCACATTTTACAGGTTCCTTTGCACTTCTCTCAGTCTCCTCGTCCTTTTGCTGTGGAGGACTAGCCTGGACACTTGCATCCAAAGATTCCACAGAGGATCCCGGTGTCTCTTCCTCCATGCTTTCTCCATCTGGGTTTATCTTAGCACTTGGTAAGTCCGGTGGCCCGACCTCAGATAAGGCTGGTTCTTCGGTGCAAATGCTAGTGGACCACCTGGTGGAAGGGACACACGAAATACTTTTAGCCACCTTTCGAGGCACCTTACAAATGGCTTCATAGTCAGAATCAGCAACCCGAAAAGCTGCACAACCACGGCATCTCCTGGGTCGGTTTCCAGGGCCTTCCGAAGCATGGCAGCTGTGTAGCTCCTGAATCTGATCCTCATTTTCTACCCAACACTCAAACCCTGAATAGGCAAAGTCTTCCTGGAGCAGCGCCGAGTATCTCACATCGGGTAAGCCGGAAATGTCAACCGTCCCATTCCCCGCCTTAATCTCCACGCCAGAGTCATCGTTATTCTTCCTATACATGCTAGCAATGCAGAATTTGAGGCGGTCCTTCTCCAGCAGCAGCTTCTGCAAGCGCTCAATAGAAAGGGCTTCGATCCGAGCAATAACGGTGTCGAATCTATAGATCCGATCAAGCATGAAGGCACACTTGCTGCAAGCAAACTCGGCTTTGCCATCGCGGGAGACATCCTTGCCCAGGACGTGCGAAAGCAGAACCTGGAGGTTGAGCTTGGATGCCGTGTGGAAGATCCAGCGCCGCTGGTTTCCGCAAAGCTCCCGGGCACAGATCCTGCAAATCTCCTTCATCTTCCCTCCTGGCGGTGGCCGCGCTTCCCTGAGGCTGCTGCTGCTTGGCGCTCACTCACTGGCCCTCGGTTGCACTCCGTCTCCCTCGTGGCCTCCGGCCTGCATGGCACACCTCAGTGGGGTCCCCGCTCTGCAGGGGCGCACCTCTGCCGCTCGCGCGCGGGCTCCGGGTACCGGAGCAGGCAGCCCCGCCCCTCGGGGAGGGGGCGGGTGTAGAAACGCCTTGGGGGGGATGCTGAGTGGCAACGGAGCAGGCCGCGCCCAGAACCTGCCGGGACTCCTCCAGCTGTTTCTCCCAGCCCCGGCCGCGTCCTCAACGTCCTCCCTTTTCGCAGGCTGGGTTCACGGTACACTAGCGGCCGTCCGCAGCTGACGCAAATGCTCGGAAATTAAGGATCAGATTTCAAGATGGCGTCCGCCGGGGGACGCCCGCGGCCGCCGGTAGATTCCTCTGCGAGCCGTAGTCCCGGAGGCCGGCTCCCCGCTCTGCGCATGCGGAGTGGCAAGCGCGCTCGCCTCGCCCCAAATCCCCGCACCGCGCCTCGGGGCTGAAGCCAAACCAGGCTCAGGGTGGGGGCCGAGTGCAGAGCGGGATGCATACTGACTCCTGCCAGGCCCCCTTCATCTGCTAAGATTTCACCCCAGAAGCGCACCAGTTCCCTCTAGAATCCTCCCTCTCGCTGGAGCGGGATGTCCGGAGGCTCAGCGTCGGGAGGAGAAAGCTGAATCCCCTCCCCCTCTCTCCGCGGGTGTGTGCCACGTACTCAGGCTGGAACAGCCTGGCAGGGCCGCTAGGTACCGTTGTGCGCCGCCTCCTTCCCGCCTGCAGTATTATCCCTTTCCCTACCCGGTTAGGTGCCTCGATTAAAAGGCCCTGGGGCTGCAGAGAAGGAGGGGCGAAAGGGTTGATAAACCAGAGGAAGGTACGGCGGTTTTTAAAAGGTGCCGTTCAACCTCTCCCTTGACTATTGATAGTATTAGAAAAGATGACAAGTGTTTCTCCCCTCGCGTGTTGGGGGTAGGGCATAGGTTTGGGACCGCTGAATGATTTGTCCGTTTTTAGAAAAGAAATTAAGAGAGGGTACAAAACAGTCACCTTAGAAAGAGTCCCGTAAATACCACGTGAATGCAGCTGGTTAATCAAGATTTTGAGATAATAGAAAATGGGCTTTTTCAGCAATGTAAACACCTGAGAGCTGATTACCGTCACCACATTCTCTTTCAGGTTCGGATGGACTACAGTCTTTATTTTGGGGGTGGGGAGGGTAGACAAACACTAGAACAAAAGACCTAGCTTTTTTGAGCAAGAGTCCAGAGTGTCAGGGAGTGATGCTCTGCAGAACTAGGGCTGGGAATTTCACTGACTTCAGTTAGTACCCTGTCTTATTAAACACTGTATAGTTGTAAGTCACCCCACCCTTGGGTATAGAACTTGGAATGCACACAAAGAGTGGAAGGGAGCTAGAGCTCTGACTAGGAGAAATCCGCTGTCAGCCTCTTTTATAATAAAGAATTCTTGACTTGAGAGGCATGCAGACCCCAGATGAGAAGGAAAACAGCCTCAGCAATTACCTGGAATCCCCCCAAAACAGGGCATTTGCCAGTTAAAATAATGTTAAATTTCACTAACTTGACTTTGTGAGAGATCAAGGCAGCAACAGTTTAAATATTTCTGAACCTCTTCTCCAGAACAGAGCCCATACTCCTAAACCTGGAGACATTCAAATGCCTTCAATGCCAACTCATAATGAGCCCCCAAATTTATGAACAATTAAATGAGATGACTTAGAGGAAGTACTTTCACAGTGCTTGGCTCATTAAATTTAATACTAGCTAATATTGTCATTTTAATATTATAATATTTTTAACTAACTTAAAAACTTTATGGGGCCCTGAACACGTAAGATTGTATTGTTCCCTTAAGCACTAAAAACAAAAATCTTAGGAGTTCCATGGTGAGAGAGGACAGTCCTTAGAGCTTTGGGCTTTGTAGGCTACAGAACTTTTCACACGAGATTTCACCTAAATATGCATGTTCTGGCCCTAAAGTCAAGAATGTAAAATAGAGTTCCACGTAAAATTCATGACAGCTTCATTTTTGTGTGCCTCTAGATATATGAGCTTCAACGTCATAAGAAATTAATCTTTGGACTCTATAGTGAGCTATAACAAGGCAAGGGGTTTCTGGCCTCACCCTACTGACAGACTGCCTGCCTGCTGGGACACCACCATGCTGTGCAGAATCTTAAGTGTCTGAAGCACAGGGAGGACTCAAAGATCTATAGAATTGAAAATTAAGATGTTAACCAAGGCCTCATCTTTGACTGTCATTGTAAGTTATGTTTCCATTACATTTCCTGTTGGAGAAAAAGCTAAAGAAACAAAGTGCTTTTCAGTAGCAAACTAAATAATACTTTGTATTATTCTCTATTCCTTAATAAGATGTTTGCATCTGACTGATAGTCCCTAAACTTTAATAGTAATATGTAGGTAGCATGGTGTAGAAGTGCAAGTCAGTACAAATGGAGAAAAGATAATTTACCATTGAAGAATGTATTTGCTAAGTATAAGATCAATGTACTGAAAGGGAGAGCTGTAAATATCTAGGCTTTCCAAAACTGAAGGAATAAAACAGCAGGAGACTCAGACTCCAAGAAGGGACTAGCTGTTACCAAACGGGAGGGATGTAGAAGGGCGGGTGGTTAGGGAGGGAGAATGGGATTGAGGGGTATTATGTTTAGTACACATGGTGTTGGGGGTTACAGGGAAAACTGTAGCACAGAGAAGGCAAACAGTGAATCTGTGGCATCTTACTACACTGATGGACAGTGACTGCAAAGGGGACTGGGTGGGGACTTGATAATATGGGTAAATGTAGTAACCACATTGTTTTTTCATGTGAAACCTTTGTAAGAGTGTATATAAATAATACCTTAATGAAAATTTTTTAAAAAATCTATACTTCCAAAAACAGATAGGAGTAAACCACTCAATAGTCAAAGGAAATTTAATACAGCACTCTACTCATTCCTAAAGAAAAAATTTTAAAACAGTATCTCAAAGTGGATAGTAAACTATAGACTAGAACTAGTCCTAACATGATCATTTAGTATTATATCATTGAATCTCAAATAAAAGATCATTGGTATATAAATAACAACACTTGAAAATAGAAAATATAAACTTCTAAGAAAAATTATGTGATAATAAAATCAGTACTTTGGAAGGGATTAAAGATGGCGATGCGAGAGGTGAGACAGTGGTTTCCTTCTAAAACTGCATATAATACAAAAAATATAATTAATACAACTAACCCTGAGAGCAACAGGAAAGAGGACTGTGCCAGACTGTCGTAAGAAATTATGACACCTGGAGAAAAGGGCAGACCTCACCGAACGGGGTAACATACCAAAGCTGTGGCCTGGTGGGACCCCAGCCCTTCGCCCACCCCAGCTCATCAACAGGAGGAAGAGAAACAGAGTGGGGGAGGGAGTGGAGGCCTGGGACTGCTGAATACCCAACTCCGGAGATCTGCTCTGGGAGCACAAACCTACATCTCATGGTGCTTTCATGATACTCTTATGATTATGGGGTTGGAAAGCTAGGACAGGCAAAATTCCTGGAGAGACTGAGATTCCAGCCTCTTGTGGAAAGCAGGGATCCATATCCAGCTACTCTGGGACAAAAGCTTATACCTGTGTGCTCGGCCCACTGGTTCAGGCAGTGGAGACAAGCATAGCAACCAGGAAGCAGAAAACAGCTCTTTCCTCCCCCTCAGGCACCAATACCACTCCCCTGTGACCACCGACATTGCCTCAGAGTCTGAGCAGCTCCAGAGGGTACAGTTCTAGACACTAGAGGGCACCATATACAAATATGAAACGCCAAAGGAACCTGATCCAGAGTAAAATTATTAATATAACTCCCAAGAAAGATTTAAATAACATGGACCTCATAACTCTTCCTGAAAGGGAATTCAAACTGAAAAATCATTAAAATGCTCATGGAGGTATGGAAAGATATTCAAGAACTCAGGAATGAATTCCGGTTGGAGATCCAATCATTGAAGAGCACAACGGAGGGTATTTAAAGCAGATTGGATATGGTGGAGGAGACAATAAATGAAAAAGAAACTAGAGAAGAGGAATAAAAAGAAGCTGAGGGACAGAGAGAAAAAAGGATCTCTAAGAATGAAAGAATATAGAGAGAACTGTGTGACCAATCCAAACGGAACAATATTCACATTATAGGGATACCAGAAGAAGAGACAGAGAGAAAGGGGTAGAAAGTGTCTTCGAGGAGGCAGTTGCTGAAAACTTCCCCAATCTGGGGAAGGAGATAGTCTCTCAGGCAATGGAGAACCACAGATCTCCCAACACAAGGGACCCAAGGAAGACAAAACCAAGACATATAGTAATTAGAATGGCAAAGATCAAGGATAAGGACAGACTATTAAAAGCAGTCAGAGAGAGAAATAAGATCACGTACAAAGGAAAGCCCATGAGGCTAACATAAGACTTCTCAGCAGAAACATTACAGGCCAGAAGTGAGTGGCATGATATATTTAATGTAATGAAGCAGAAGGGCCTGGAACCAAGATTATTTTATCCAGCTAGATTATGATTTAAATTTGAAGGAGGGATTAAACAATTTCCAGATAAGCAAAAGCTGAGAGAGTTTACTTCCCACAAACCATCTCTACAGTGTATTTTGGAGGGACTGCTATAGATGGAAGTGTTCCTAAGGTTTAATAACTGTCACCAGAGGTAATAAAATCACAGTAAAGAAAATAGAACAGCTAATTACTAAGCAAATGCAAAATTAAGTTAACTATCCCCAAAGTCAAGGCATAGACAAACAGCACAGAATATGATACACAATATATAAAGAATGGAGGAGGAAAAAAAGGAGAAAAAGAAAAGAACCTTGATTGTTTGTAATATCATATTAAATGAGTTAAGTTAGACTGTTAGACAGTAAGGAGGTTAACCTTGAACCTTTGGTAACCACGAATCTAAATCCTGCATTGGCAGTAAGTACATATCTATTGATAATCACCCTAAATGGAAATGGACTGAATGCACCAATCAAAAGACATGGAGTCACTGAATGGATAAAAAAAACAAGACCCGTCTATATGCTGCCTACAAGAGACTCACTTTAAACCCAAAGACATACACAGACTAAAAGTGAAGGGATGGAAAAAGATATTTCATGCAACTACAAGAGAGAAAAAAGCAGGAGTTGCAGTACTTGTACCAGACAAAATAGACATCAAAAGAAAGACAGTCACAAGAGACAAAGAAGGACATTACATAATAAAAAATGGGTCAATCCAACCAGGAGATATAACCATTATAAATATCTATGCTCCCAACACAAGAGCATCTACATATGTGAAACAAATACTAACTGAATTAAAAGGGGAAATAGAATGCAATGCATTCATTCTAGGAGACTTCAACACTCCAATCACTCCGAAAGACAGATTAATCAGACAGAAGATAAGTAAGGACACAGAGGCATTGAAC